TTTGCAGACGCTGAGGACAAGTCGAAAACATGGCGGGAGGTAACAGAAGTAATCCTGCTCTCCTCTCCTGTGGTGGAGGAGCAGTAGCTTTACATCAGGGTTGGGGAACCCTGGTCCTCGAGGGCCGGTATCCTGCATGTCTTAGCTTCAACACTTCTGATACAGTGATTCCCAGTCATTTAAAACAAAGGAAAGAGCCACCTGTTCTGCAGCTCATCAAGCTCTGCAGAAGCTTGTTAATCACCTGCTGATTGAAATGAGGTGTGATGATGCAGGGTTGATATGCCGGATAGCGGCCCTCGATGGACCAGGGTTCCCCACCCCTGCTTTACATACTACGGAGCCTGTAGCTTAGTTAAAGCAATCAGTAAAAACAAAAGCATACAGGTAAAAAAGTGAAGAAGGCCCATACCGGGGAAAATTTAAGTCAACGGACAAAGTTAGAGAATAAAGAAATAAAATGCAAGGGGAAAGACATGCAGACAAGATGGTGTTTGCTTACAATTGTTTTCCGGGAAAGACAACTCTGCACATAATCTACCTATTTAATCTGACTGAATGCTTGGTGCATATATACTCACAGCATGATCGGATCATTTCATTTTAGTGTCCATATGAACGGAGATTTGGGATCTTTGATCAACCAAGATTTTTATTGGATAGTGGAAATTTGGCACATGTAAACGTGGCTATTGATTATCATCTAGTTCAGTTTAACCATGGCATACTAGCTTGGCCTGCCGGACTCGTCCTCTGTTTAAGTCTGCTCAGAGAAAGAATCTGGTAACTCACAGGCAGAGAGGCACTTGAGAGCGGGACTAGGCAGCTCAAAAATAACCAATCAGAAAAAAGACGGAAATGCCGACTGTACCGCACCACGCTGTAGTTTTTTTTAGCTGTAGTACAGTGGTGGCTCCAGAAATTTTTTTCTGCAGGTGCTATGAAGGAGCTAGTCTTTTTATTGAGGGTGCTATGAAGGAAGTGGTCATGCGTACCTATTGTTCTCTAAAACACCGTCAACACTAGCAGATACACATGCGTGCACAAAACCTGAAACAATCATTAATATACATCATAAACACATGAACAATCGCTGACTTTTCCATGAAATCATAAACACATACAGCCACACAGAAAACCATCTACAGTGTTGCAAGTTTAGCTAACGTTAGTGTTAGCATTTCCAGCAGCAAAACCCTCGACAACTGCGGCGGTTGAGGGTTGACTCTCTTCATCCAGATCCGTAGGTTTTTGTGGGTCTGAGATCACTTCCAAAGATTCATTCGTTTCTGACTGAACCCGTAGAAATTTGGGCAACAAAAACCGATCCATTTCACGACTAGCTCTACCTTTCACTCGTTCTCAGGTGGAAAATGAGGTCAAAGGTTAACATCAATTTCCTGTTTTGGTTTAAGTTTTTACTATCTATATGATAATTTACTGATTATTTTGTTTTGTATGTTAAATATTATCACATCCACACGTTAAATTAAAATTAAATTGTAAAAAAAAAAAAAATCTAATATTTACTTGGGGGTGCTATGGGGGTGCAAAGACTAATCCAGGGGTAGCTATAGCGCTCCCTAGTGCCCCCCTGGCGCCGCCACGGCTGTAGTAAAATTTGGCAACGGCGCAAACATCTTTTTTTTTTTAGAAGAAATGCTTTTAGCGCTTCTACTTGTGGTTTTATAGACATTTGAGTCATTTAGAACAAAGGAAAGAGCCACAGCGAACTCTGCTGATGTCTTCGTTGTTTATGAGAAACTGAGCATCACTGTGTGTGACGTCCGCGACCCTGTCGTTGTTTAGCTGTTGTCAAAAATGGAGTCTGACGACAGCTCAAACATCTTTCTTCAGAAGAAAAGCTTTTAGCGCTTCTACTTGTTGTTTTAAAGACATGTCCAAGTCGTTTAGAACAGAAAGAGCAGCAGCGAACTCCGCTTCTGTTGCCATGTTTATGATAAACTCGGCGCTGTGGTGTGTGACGTACGCTGCTCAGCGCTGATTGGCTCGGTTAGAATTCTCACGGGGTGGGGTTATTTGAATAAGAGAGTTTCTAGACCCTTTCTCTGTGCAGAACTAAACAGAGGAGAAGTCTGGCAGGCCAGGCTAGGGGCATACCTCTACATAAGAATCAACATGTGCTCATGGGGCTCTAGAGGGCTCTAGAGCTGTTTTACTCTGAATCACAGCATGTACCCATACCCCACTGACCTGAGACCAACAGTGTATTCATCCTGCCCACTCAGAATTTCATTTGATCTGAAAAGGTCACATGGCCTTTTCACAAATTGTTTTATTTTCCAAAGATGACATGGTGTTCTAAAGCACGTGCTTTAGAACACCTGTGATTAGTATAAATACAACTTTACTAATGTTACAATAAAATACCACTGACATATAAATGGTTCAGAGCTAGATTCATGCCACTATATTTACTGTACATATCAGAATGGGGAAGAAATAAAACACTGACATTATTAGAATTTAAAGAAAGAACTGAAATAAAATGTCATATTTTTACAACTACAGTTGTTGGTCATAAAATTAGAATATCACCACAAAGTTGATTTAAAAAGTGAAACTTGTATATTAGATGAATTAATTACACACAGACTCGTATATTCCAAATGTTTATTTAATGTTGATTATAACTGACAGCTAAAGAAAATCCCAAATTCAGTATTTCATAGTATTACAACATGAATTAAGACCAATGAAAAAAAACAAATTTTAGAAATATTGACAAACTGAAAAGTATGAAGATGAAAAGTATGAGCATGTACAGCACTCAGTATTTAGTTGGAGCTCCTTTAGCCTGGATTACTGTAGCAATGCAGCGTGTGTATATATATATATATACATATATATATATATATACATATATAGTTATTTTTAAATTTTAATTTAATAGTTAAATTTTATTTTTATAATTATATAGAACACTTTGACTGCCCTTTGTCACCTGTCCTGTTCATAATGTTTATGGACAGGATTTCTAGACGCAGTCGTGGTGTTGAGGGTGTGGAGTTTGGTGGCAGGAGAGTCTCATCTCTGCTTTATGCGGATGATGTGGCCCCCTAGCTTCATCAGGCTCTGACCTACAGCTCTTGCTGAGGGGGTTCGTAGTCGAGTGTGAAGCGGCTGCAATGAGGATCAGCACCTCCAAGTCTGAGATCATGATTCTCGACTGGTAAAGGGCGGTTTGCCAACTCCGGGTTGGGAGAGAGGTCCTGCCTCAAGTGGAGGAGTTCAAGCATCTCGGGGTCTTGTTCACGAATGAGGGCAGGAGGGAGCGGGAGATCGACAGGTGAATTAGGGCATCATCTGAAGTGATGCGGATGCTGAACCGGTCTGTCGTGGTGAAGAAGGAGCTGAGCCAGAAAGCAAGGCTCTCGATTTACCAGTCGATCTACCGCCCAGACCTCACCTATGGTCGTGAGCTTTGGGTAATGACCGAAAGAACAAGATGGCAGATACACGTGGCTGAAATGAGTTTTCTCCACGAGCTGGATGGGCTCAGCCTTAGGGATAGGGTGAGGAGCTTGGACACACGGAGAGGCTCTTAGTAGAGAGGAGAGGAGTAAGTTGAGGTGGTTTGGACATCTTGTTAGGATGCCTCCTGGACGCCTCCCCAGGGAGGTGTTTCAGGCATGTCCTGCCAGCAGGAAGCCCCCTGGTCAACCCAGGACACGAAGAAGGTACATCTCCGAACTGGCCTGGGAATGCCTTGGGGTCCTGTCGGAGGAGCTGGTGAAGGTGGCCGGGGAGAGGACGGTCTGGAACTCCCTAGTTGGGATGCTGCCCCTCCGACCCGGACCCGGATAGGTGGAAGAAGACGAGACTTTGACTTCCATATATGACGCATCGGCATCTGCTGCTTTTTACGGCTTTTGAAACATTTTTTCCATTGCTGCTATGTCTGCCACATTAGCTGTGTTTTTACCATAATTTTTACATCCACTATGTCACAAACACGGTGAAACAAACGTCAAACCCAATGTTTGGAGCTTGTGTCACGGTAACCGGTGTAGCAGTAAACCCCGGTAAAAAAGTTGACAATAATAATAACTGTCTTGTTTTTATAAACATATATTATCTTGGTGGGTTTACCGTGGCTGCGGTGTAGGTGCGGTGACCCTTACCAGCCACCGTATCATCTGCTGAAGTTGCCGGCGGCACATGCGCACTTTGTTGTTTACAACCAAAATTTTCTTGAAGCTAAAGCTGAAATAATGGCCAAAGGAGGAGGCGGCAGCGCTCAGGACATTTATTATCCCACAAAGAAGACAAAGTGGGAAGTACGGGCATTTTTTGGATATTTGAAGAATGTCGAGGGACAGTTGATAGAAGACGGCTATCCTGTTTGCAGCACGTGCAGAAAAAGTGTCTGCGAAAGGCAGCAACGCTTCAAATCTCATGACACATCTGCGTGACCATCACCCACAACTCTACAGTCAACGCAAGGCAAGCTAACGTTAGCGTTTTAGCTAAAATACGTGATACGAGGATTTGGGTTGAGGGAGAATACAAAGAGTCCCTATATAAAGCAGCCGCAGCGCCGCTACCTGCATATAAACCGTGTCACGGACACCCCCATGTTGAAATGGCGCTATGCATTACGGGGATCCCAGGGGCAGATAAGAGTTGGTCTCTCTCAGAGAATAATTATGAATTTAACAATGATTACTGCCTGATGACATTTTCCCAAATCTGCAAAGCTCACTGGAAGGACACAAACCGAGGACAATATTTTCCTGATTTAGGGTTTATTACTCAAGTTAGGGTAAAAAAAAGTATCTGATTAGAAGGCTACTTGAGTACTGAGTATCATCTGTTCTAATATTTTTAAAATGATGACATCAAACAGACAAAAATTAAGAAGTTATGGGCAAATATTGCTATTTTAAAGACTAAAGGGGAAATATGTAAACAAATAAACAACATAATTACAAAATAGCACATTTTAGGCAAAATTTAGACACAAACTGAGGACAATGTTTTCCTGACATACAGGGTTTATTTAGTTGTCTGAAAATGTAACACGTTTAAAAAATACCACAATAATACCGAAAACCGTGATAATTTTGGTTACAATAACTGTGAGGTTAAATTTTCACACAGTGACAACCCTAAGTCCAACAAGACAAGCATGTCCATTTCTTGAGTTTCTTTATCTTCTCTGACAATGAGAAGCGGATGTTGTAAGTCTGCAGCTTTCTATGCTAATGCAGTATTTCAGATTTGATGTCCCGTTTGCAAAAATAAAGGAACAAATATGAAATCATAAATCAGTCCCCGCCTGTGTAAGGAAGGCATCCAGCCTGAGTAAAATCAACATCAAACAACTAAGATCATCCAGCTTTTTCATAAACAACATAAAGCAACCAGTTTTTCTTTTTAGCAAGCAGTTCAGAAATCCCCCGGAAGCCGTTTTAATTACACAAATAAATAAGAACTGCAACCAAACAAAAGCAGGAAGAAATCTTTAGCCCAACGATTAGGATCCTAAAGACCACAACTTTAAGGTCCAAACTCTTTTCCTTAGGTCATGTGTGTCATTGTGTCCAAAGGAAGTCCATCAGATGTTAACGTTTAACCTGAGACATAAGCAACTGTCAGACTCAGGTGGACCAGCGGCTCATGGCAGGGCCTGCAGGAGGTTCTCTACCCTCTCTAACAAAGGGGTTAGGACCCGCCTTAGGTTGGACATCCAATAATAGACCTCCTCTGGCATGTTAGCATAAACCTTCTTCAGGATTTGGCCCCACACATGGTCTGGATCTGCAACGACACACAATCGTAGCAGGTTTACACCAGAGATACCAGACCAGGGCTGCTTCCCGAACCCTCTACAGCACACAACACCTCCTGCAGGAACATGAGCAACCCGATCAACACAACAAGCCCCCTCCACCACCACCACGCCAATAAAGCCTGCTCTAGAGAGGCAGTGCGAACAGTTTCCTCTGCAGAGAGAAACAGGAAGTTCCCCACATAAACGAAGGAGCACATCAGCTCATGGGGGAGCCATCAACATTCCCAGCGACACTCAGATCACACAAACGCAGGAAGGACTGTTGGCCTTGAGGCTACACTAATCACTCTCTGGTGCTGAGCAACTGCTTGAGGTGGGGTCACAGCTAGAAGAAACTAACCACCTGAGCTTCTCAGAGAGCCAACGGTTAGGGGTCCCTGCAAAGGCTGAAGAGTAGAGCTTCAGAAAACAGAGGAAAGACGTTTACCTTGAGGTTGATCAGCTCCCCCTGTGAGAGAAACAGAGCACACGTCAGTTCAGTAAACCAGAGCTGGCTTCATCTCTGCTGCTGAGAGGCATCTGAGATGTCCTCCTCCAGCTCTGACCCTGTTCTTCTGAAGGCCAGTGATCTGAGTCAGCCTTTAGCTGGTCCCGAGGAGTCTTACTGAGCACTTAAAGGGATTTTAGCAACATGCCTGGCTGAAAGACACTCTGGTATGTGAGCCAGGGGTTAAACCAACAACCCTATGATTAGTTGTTAGCCATTCCTCCTTTTTAAGGCAGTCCTCCTACATCAACTAAAATCTGGACAACTGCAATTTACAAGAGCTGCACACTCTCACCACCCATACTGTTACTATGGCCCAGTCCCAGGACCCACACTGCAGCCTTCTGCCAAGTGCACTTGGGAAGTGCACGTACGGCTACGACTCAGTGCATAGTTAGCATTGTGTCTTCAACTACAACTTCCAAAAAGGGGGCACCAGTCGCTGTTTGTGCTACTTTGCTGCTGGAAATTAAATTAAAACTGAACATTAAATGTTCTAAAATGCCAAGAACAAACACAAGTCCTACTAATTTTGGCTGAAATGTTGGACAAGTCCAGAGGAACCCAGCACCAGTTTTTCTGTCAGAATCTGATACAACTTCAAGAAAACATTTAAACCTAGTTTTGGCCTAGAAACTCTTCTAAGTTCACCATTAAAAGACTTTTAAAAAGCCCGATCTACAGAAGCACGTGAACGTACCCTGATGATCGGCGCCGGGGTCCACGGCATGGCCTGGAGGAGGAGAAGGCAGACAGAAAGGTTAGGAGAGTTTCTGATTAAAGCAACAGGGAAACTCCCGACTGAGCAGTTTCATATCATTTCAGAATCACACGAGATCAAGGCCTGTTTGCTGTTCCCTCTTCACACGCATTAGCGGAAACACCAGATCCAGTTCATCCCAGGTCCTGCAGCTGAAACCAGCCATGTGGTTCTGATTAGAGGCACAAGACTCTGGCTCCTCCTCTCGAGGGTTTTCAGTGAAAAAACAACTAACTTATCTCATGTTTGAACAAAACAACAGCACAGAAACAAACTGTGTTACCATGGAAATCAGAGGGGGAAACAAAAGGAGGGGTGGATCTGAATGGATCCAAGCTGAATGAATAGTTCCTGTTTTATGGTTGTTTTTTTATATCTGTGTATCTGAGATATTGCTGGTGTCAAAGCAGGACAGAAGCCTGTTGCCTCTCATATGGAGGTTCTGTCCCAGCAGAGGTATCAGCAGAGGTCTCACCTCCTGAGTGGCCTCCATCAGGCTTGTAGTCCCCTCCTTCACTCACGTCTAACAGGTCAAAATCACCAAAGATCCCCCGCCTGTAAGAAACACCCACAGTCTCACAGCAGGATGGTACAGGACCTAGTTCTGCTTCTCATTAGGCACACTCTCATGCACACCATGGACGTCACTAGGATTGAGAGATGGGGGGGGCTTAGCCCCAAGAGCTTGACTGAATATTTTAGTCACACCGTGCAAAAAGTTTGTTAATTAATTAATTATTTGAAGAGCATTTATTGATATATGGAGTAAAGGAGGTGTCCTAGAATTAACAATTAAAGACAAAATAACTGTAAATAAAAACTATCCGGCAAGTATTCCTCTTTAAAAGGTTAACTGTTTCAGGAACGGGCAGAGTGTCTCTTTTTGGAAGTCAACATGTGGTCACCCTAATCATGACACTAAAGCCTGGTTTATGCTTCTCCGTCAGCTCCGCAAGGGACAGACACGCACGGATTGACGGAAGCGTTTTGCTCTTTTACTTCTCCGTCTCCTGGGGAGTGTTGCAAAGCAATTGCCCGGCAGGACAACAGAGGGCGTAGCGCTGTTCTGTGGTATCCTGTCATGTATCGGTCCAGGATCGTGTGTTTATATTGTTTTTTGTGTATATAAGAGACTTTTAACACGGACATATTTGTCTCTCATTCTCCCATCGCTTCATGCACCCCCCACCTCTAAACCCACATTTCCTGTCATTTTCGTCCACAAAATAAAATGCTTGCTGCGCATCTTTTCACTCCTCCAGTCACGGACGGATGAAACGTTCATATTTTTAGTTTTTTCGCGAGGTATTCTACAAGCTTCTCCGTGTCTGCCGTTAGTTATCCTCGGCTCTCTTTGCAATGGCGGCGCTGCAAAAACAGCAGCATCCTGACCAATCACAAGCTTGCGTAATCCGTCTCGTTCGACGGATGTTTTAAAAAAGTGGGCTCGACTCCGTACGTACTTGCGTGCCTGCCAGAGCCCTACGCAAGGACGGATATGGCGTTGCGTGTCTCCGCACTGACTGTTGATTGGCTGTTTTCCTGGAAAGAAGTATTTGCTGGACATGCTTTGATTGGATGAAAGAGAACTGCCAGTGATTGGCTGATGGAGATGCTGCTTTGCTCTGTGGGAGTTGGGGAGCAGATTTTTTTGTACAGAAGTAAACTCTCACTAATGTCCAACCCACACTCAGGTATATATTCATTTAAGTAAAGTTGATCCACAGTTTAATTTAATCACCTCAGTCTCTCTCTCTCTCTCTCTCTCTCTCTCTCTCTCTCTCTCTCTCTCCTCTCTCTCTCTCTCTCATCTCTCTCTCTCTCTCTCTCTCTCTCTCTCTCTCCTCTCTCTCTCTCTCTCTCTCTCTCTCTCTCTCTCTCTCCTCTCTCTCTCTCTCTCTCTCTCATCCTCTCTCTCTCTCTCTCTCTCTCTCTCTCTCTCTCTCTCTCTCTCTCTCTCTCTCTCTCTCTCTCTCTCTCTCTCTCTCTCTCTCTCTCTCTCTCTCTCTCTCTCTCTCTCTCTCTCTCTTCTCTCCTCTCTTCTCTCTCTCTCTCTCATCTCTCTCTCTCTCTCTCTCTCTCTCTCTCTCTCTCTCTCTCTCTCTCTCTCTCTCTCTCTCTCTCTCACACACACACACACACACACTCACACACACACACACACCATTTAAATACATATTAATAAGGATTGAGAGGCTATGAACCAAAGCGAAGACAATATAAAATAGAGGTGAAGGTTTATGCATTTAACAATAAACTTCTTAAATGATCATCAGAGCTGCTGTAAAATCTATGCTCAGCAGCAGCAGGATGTTTATGCTCACATAGTTAATGTTTTTTCCAACATCATGCCCACTTTTAAGTGGAGTACTCCTCTTTTGACGTTTAATTTCTTGTGTTTGTGTCTCCTCCTCTATGGACCTACCTGTCTGTTGGAGCATGCAACCACTGTTTGGTCAGCTGCTGCTGTTGCCAATCATTGCAGAAATGTGCATGGTGTCGGAAAAACTCTTCCCTAATTTTTCTCTCCTCTGCCTAAGCTGATGGTGCCTAGCAACAATGATGCGCCTTTTGCGAGAAATGCAGCCCTTCATGGAGTGCGTGCCAGACTGTGGATAACTGGTGTTTGAGGATAAACAGATATTTTTAAAGAAATCTGATAATTCGACTAATGAATACCTGCAAAAATTACCGGTACGCACTGAACCTTAGAAAAAAGTGCCAGGATGCTGTAAGGCTGTAATTATATGTGGTGGCGGCACTGGTGCAGCTGCGTACTGAAGCACTGCTCTCTGTCCCTACAGGACAGGAGTCTGATAAACTGAAAATCAGCACCTGATCATCATGATCAGTTCCTGACAGCCAGTTTCTCCCTCCATGGCACACCCCGCGCACCATCGCTCACTGTGCGCTTAACTGAAATAAAAAAAATAAAACAATAATAATAAATCCACCTAAAACGTCCCTGACAACATCAGCGATGCACACACGCACACACACACACACACACACCTACCTTCTACTGTGTCATGTAAGCACTGTTCACTGGGCTCAGAAACTATGTTGATAGAGCAACTCACCTCCTCCACTCTTAGGAGGCTTGACAGCAGGCTTCTCTGTTGCTGGGTCTGTAGGCACAAACAGACCAGAGTAAATGTTCAGGTGTGTGTGTGTGTGTGTGTGTGTGTGTGTGTGTGTGTGTGTGTGTGTGTGTGTGTGTGTGTGTGTGTGTGTGTGTGTGTGTGTGTGTGTGTGTGTGTGTGTGTGTGTGGGAGACATAACATCATTGTGAACCAATGAATTAATCACACAACAGCAGTAACGATGCAACTATTTTGTGCAGTCAGAGGACGGTAAGTTAATTCTGTCATCTTCCATCGATTCATCCATCCATCTTGATTCCATCCATCTCAGAGTTTTTCCAAACACTGACTCAACAAGCTGTGCCACCCTGCTGATTTTTCCCACTGCAGTGCCACCTTAATGCCGAATGTGTTGTCTCCAACACGTTTATGTACTGATTCACTGTAACTCCTCAATGCCATCCAAAAACTCAGTTATTGAAAAGTGTGCAAAGTGTTATTATGATCATTCCTCTTCTACTGTTGCAGGAAGCAGAAAGTTGAGCCTCTCAATCCCTCTGTCCCCCTCACTCTCTCACACACGTACGTGTGAAGAGAAGAAAATCAGCAGCAGAGAAGAGAAGGAGTGTAAAGCAGCAAAATATGTCTAAACGAAGACATTCCTGGATTATAATGTCTCCACAGAGGTTACTGGATGGTTTTGAGTCCATTGAAGAAGCTCTGTCAAAAGAGCGCAGCCTGGGAATCTACTGTCAAGAACCGTGACTGCTGTTCCATCGGGGCTATGACAAGTGAAGAGAAAAGCAGAGAGGGAACTAAAACATATTTTCTTTGTACAAAAGAGAAATTGTAAAGGGCCTGTAGAGTTCAACAACCCCCCAAGGTGCTTTACAACCATTCACACACTGATTGTGACGAGCTACATTGTTACCTGGGGCACTGACAGACACGAGACACCGCAGGTTCCATAAAGATTATGAGGTGATTCACAAGAAGAACAAAACCAAAGAAATTATTAAAAATGGGGGAAAAAAGACAGAATTGGCAGAAAAAGCAGCAACAAAAAAGCTAGCAAGGAAAGAAAGGATGAACAGAAGGTCACACTAAAGCCAGCCTAAAAAGGTGAGCTCTCAGCTACTTTTTAAAGGAGACCCCCGAGTCCACTGGTCTCAGGGTGCTTGTCCATGCAAGGCCCCAAAACCAGAACCAAGATCTTTAAAGAGCAAGTCACCTCCAAATCACTTTTTTTTTTGCTGATAAACTATATAAAGGAGTGTCTAATCGTGCTGCAGACACGTGTCGTCAATAATTTGGCAGTTCAGTGCATCTTAGTTAAAATTAAAATATTCTGCCTAAAACTGTCAGTGTTGCGCCGTCGTCAGGGAAAAATTCTGCACTGTATCTGAATTTAAATCTGCCACCGCTATTGGCTAAGATGTATGCTATGATGTCATCTGGTACATTATGATGTCATAATGCCATTGTGAGCCTGTGTGTGTGTATTTGTTAGCAGCTCCGCCCTCTCGGTCTGCCAAGTAACAGCATTTGTTGCATTTTTCAAACATGAAGTGGAGTGAAGTAAGTTTTTTGTAGGAGGTGACTTGCTCTTTAAAGGCTTCCCCAGGTCTGCAGACTCATGGTTAGGCTGGTTAGACAAACTCACAAGAGTAGAGCTGGGTTAAAACTGTATTTATCCTCTTGAATCTGAGGTCCATGTCAGCTGGACCTTTCTCTCCAGTACCACCAGAGGTTCTACTGTTGTAGATCTCTAAATAATCAAATGTGGATCAGAGGATCCCGGCTCAGTTCTACCTGGATGAAGGGCATCCCCCAGGTCAAATCCATCACCACCTGTAACAGAAAGCACATCTACAGTTCAACATCGGTTCTCCTGCAATGAAGCTTGAAAACACAAGAAGGTCACCGGGAATTGATTTCAACCCACCAGAATCTCCAAAACTTGGTTTCTTGGGTTTTATAGCTGGTGCCTCTGTGAAAACAAGAGTGATTTATTAAAAGCTTAACCCCGTGCTTCCAAAGTAACGCCTCCTGAAATGAAGCTGTGGTCCAAAAACGTTGGCTGACCGCCATCCTCCAGGCAGAGGTCTATGGTTGTTTACTGTTGCCTAAAGCATCAAAAAGGGTTTTCCTACGTGATCTGGATGGGTGCAGTTCGTTTTGAACGTCTTTCCCAACAGTCCCTGCTACATACGTTGCGGTTCCTAGCATGCTGACCCAGGCTGGAAACGCGAATGTTGGCCACTGATTGGCTAGGGGGTGGAGTCACTGGTCGCTCCAGAGCTTCCTGCCTGAGGCCGTTTCTTTGTTCAGAGTCTGACAAAAAGCCAAAGACTGAGCAGAATGTTCAAGATCACCGCCATTTCTGTGTAGTAGAGATCACCTCACACTGCTAAATCTCTAAATAATCAAATCTAATTAACTAAATAATCATATCTTAATCACCCTGAGCTTTTGGTCTCGAAAAAAGACGACACCCCCTCTGGCATGACAACAAGCTCACCCACTTTTGCCATGGAGCTGGCGGGCAGAACCACTACACTGAGGTGAGCTGATTAGACCCACGCTGTACCGAGCCGTTCTCCACCGGGTGGTGCTGTTGGAAATACGACTGACACAGAGTTTAGCGGAAACAGCTGCTTCATTAATAATTTGATCCAGTTAAACCTGAAACCAGAACCCTGCAGACTTCTCCTACTGGGAGGATCCAGGATAAAAATGGGACCTGTTTCAAACCAGTCTGACCAGTACCAACACTGCTCCACCTGATCACTGCAGCTAAAGGCTGATGACAATAAAAACACCTCACCAAGCCCCAGGTCAGATAAACGGAAGCTCTCTGAGGACCACCAGGACCAGCAACAGGCCCGCTGAGAACTGGTTTCTTTGTTAACCCACCTTCAAAAGCCCCGGTGGAATGCTCTAAAACCAGTTTCATTTGATTGGTTGCTCCTTGATAATGACGAGCTCTGTATGATGAAGACCAAACTATGAGCATCCAACTGTATGGATGGGTCATCCCGACCCAAAGTAGCTGTTTAAATCTCCAGAACCAGATGGAACCAGCCGGGATCAGGAAGACCAATCTAAACCAGCTAGTGTTCTACTGGTAACACTGGTTGTTTATAAGAAATCCAACATCAGGATTACCTGGAATCGGGTATGAATGAGAGAGTGAATGGGTGAATCTGACATGTGGTGTAAAGAGCTTTGGGTGGTCAGAAAGACCAGAGAAGCTCAGGATCTAAAAACCCCTGACCCAAAAGCACCTGGTGGCCCCAAAGAGCAGACAGACCGGGCCAACTGGGGCTAGAATGGAGGTGTGGTCAGTAGGTAACTGGGGTACTGACACCCAGGTCTGGGTGAACCAGAACCAGTCTAGTTGGGTTCTGATTAGAACCCACCACTAACATTTAAACAGTGTGCAGTAGACTGGTGGGATGGTTCTGGTTTATTAACCAGTTGATTCAGGCTGTCAGCAGCTGACTCAACTCATTTATTTTAGATAATGGAGCCTTCGACCAGCAGAGACCAGGATGATGAGCTGAAGAGTGAAGAACCGATCAGTTAAGTTGACCTCTGACCCCATCCTGTCATTTCTAAAGATTATTCTGATCACATGAGGTAAACACAAGTGTTGCTGCTGATTTAAAGATACTGATGAGACTGAGAACATCTGAAGTTTCTGAATCAAAGATGAAACTCTTTGTGATTCAGTTTCCGTTTCATTAAGTCAGAATGAATGAAAACACTCCCTGTTTGGAGGTTCAATGATCCAAACAAGTCCTGGTCTGGTGTGACCCAGACGGGAGGATAATTCAATTCAATTCAAGTTTATTTATATAGCGCCAAATCACGACAAGAGTCGTCTCAAGGCCCTTCACATAATGAACATTCCAATTCAGGTCAGTTCATTAAGCCAATCAGAAATAATGTTTCCTATATAAGGAACCCAGCAAATTGCATCAAGTCACTGATATGATAATTATGTCTGATGTTCCTTCATCCTGTCGCTGATTCAACAGGAACACATCTCCATGACTGATGTCAATGTTGTTGTCGTTATTGTTGTTGTTAGCCTCAAGGGCAAAATGCCGATTATCACTTGTAAGTCGCTTTGGACAAAAGCGTCTGCTAAATACATAAACATAAACATCTGTGTTTGTGTTTTTGCTGTGGAGCAATCAATCGTGTAATAAATGCTGAATAAAATGCTGAAACATCATGCATGTGTGTGTGTGTGTGTGTAGGTGCGTATGAGAAGAGGAAAAATTGCTAACAGTAAGAGCAATTTGAACCGGTACTGACCGCCTGCTTTGGGTTTCTCTGTGGGCTTTGGGGTTGGTTCTGAAGGAGGAGAGCAGAGTTACTGGAACTGTTTGGTACCAAACACCAGATCAAGAGTTTGCCTCCAGAGAGAAAGAGGGCTCACCTGGATCATCGAGGGCATCAAGCAGGTTAAAATCTGCAGGTAGAGGACAAGAGGACACTTTAGGACTGGACAGAGGACAAGGATCTAACTTCAGTCTGCATTCTTGACCTTCACGAACCAACACAACTCATCTTTGACAGAGTCAAAACACATGTCCTAAAGGACGTTCTGCTATGTATTGCATTTATTTGGCAGGTTACCATGGCAACAATGGCCTACTGACAGACAGGGAGAGCCCCTCTGAACAGTCTGAGTCTGGCACACACACACACGCGCACACGATTAAAGAGAATAATGACTCAACCAGAAAAAATCTGATAGTTTTACATCACTCAGTGCATGCCATGCAGAGAACAGCAACACGCCTGAGGTTTCCTCTTCCTGTCACACACACACACACACACACACACACACACACACACACACACACACACACACACACACACACACACAATGAAAGAGGTGAAAGATCTGTATTTCTAAACGTTTGACTATTTAAGGCAGTCAGACTGAATATACTTAATAATAATAATAATAACAATAATAAAATAATAATAATGATAATATGGACCCGACGGGCCTCTAGGATCAACCCACACAACTTTGCTAACTGGGTCTGTGACCAGAACCCTCCACCAGGTCACGTCAGTCGGAACCAGAACATCTAGCTGTGACGTCACTTTAACGGCGTTCACAACAGAACGCACCACAACCATAACCCAACTATGGAACAAGCGTGTGTTAAAGAAGTCGGAGCTTACCTTGAGCTAACGTCCCGGTAACGAGAAGCAGCAGCAGAACTATTCTTAAAGTAAACTTCATGGTTCGGTTCCGTCCACTCCTGCTGCTTCTTCTGTTTACTCCCGACTGTTTTTAACTCCTTCTTCTTCTGTGGTTTTGTCGTGTTTTTGTCCTGTTTGGTTATTGTTTAGGTGTGATTTTGTTCTGCTGAGCCGACCTAAAGCTCCGTTGGTGTCCTGTTACAGACTGACTCACGCTGGGTGTGGTACCAACTGGGCCGGGCTCAGGCGTTGGGTGGCACCGGTGTTGTGTCGATATATGTTCCCAGCCATAACTGTGTCTCAATGTAGTAGTAGCCACTAAGCGTCTCCTTTCTAAGGTGTAAACATTTTCTACAACTATAAAACTAAACTTTCAGTCACAGTTGTGTTAGTTTTCTACAGACGACAGTAACAAATCCTCTTTATGCCTGTCCTGATCTGTTTGGTCTAGTATGATCTTCCTAAAAGTGTCTCGATACCACTGGAACACGTAAAACCGTAGCAGAGTAAACGCAACGCACGTTTGCGCCCTCTGCTGGCTAAAGCTTGGATTATGCTTGACGCGTCCGTCAGGTCCGCACGGCTACGCGCGGAAAAGTTGCGTCATTTTAACAACCACGCCCCTCCACCGCGCCTCCGCACGGCCCAAACTTTTTTATGGTCATGGTCGACGCACCCTCCAGCCCACACATCTGGGGGGGGGGGGGGGGGGGGAACATGGGGGGACATGGTCGGGACATAGAAGGGGGTGCGCAGCTAAATAAGTTAGGGAACCGCTGATCTAAAACAATTTTACCATTAAAACACAAAGATTTCAGTCAAGCACTTAAGAGTTTGGTTATGTTTTCCACCCATTTGAGTTTGTTCAAAGTGTTCAGAGTTTAACTGTTTTTACCGTACAGGCCAAAAGCTTGGACACACCTTCTCATTCAACTTACTGTTTTCTATACTTTCATGACCATTTACATTGGGAGATTCTCACTGAAGGCATCAAAACTATGAATGAACACATGTGGAGTTATGTACTTAACCAAAAAATAAATAAATAAAACATGCTTTATATTCTATTTTCTTCAAAATAGCCACCCTTTGCTCTGATTACTGCTTTGTACACTCTTGGCATTCTCTCAATGAGCTTCAAGAGGTAGTCTCCTGAAATGGTTTTCCAACAGTCTTGAAGGACAACCTTACTAATTTAAAAAACATAACTATTCTGCCATGAAGATACATTTAAAATGTTAAAATATACGAAAAAAAATATTCTTTCACCTTTTCCTTGATTTGTATTTATATGTTTTAGCAAGTGTTAAGATATTTTTTTTTCTTGAGAAAAAGTGGTTTTATCTGCCTTAAATCAGTTTTTGGCACAACACCGGTCCCAGAGGGAGCATGAATACCTCTGAAAAGCACTGAAAGTGAAACGTGCATTGTGAGTGAAACTTTTCAAAAGCACAGAGTCAATCACAAGTCTGTGTAGTTTACTGTCTGGGATTTTGTATAAATCTCTGGTCCGTTGATCGTCTCTAATCCACACGTCTCCATGTTCCATTCAACTCTTTGAGCCAGAACCAGAAACTTTGTTTCGACAAGTGACATGTTTTATTAACAAAGAAACCCATCTAAAACCTTGTCAGATTACAAAGGACCAATTGATTCCTCTAACTGAATAAAGTCATTCACAATCTCCTTAGACTTTGGTGAGAAGTCAAATAGTACCTCTGGAATCACATTGACCAGCTAATTATCCCCTGATAATAGATAATAGATAACTGTTGATGATTGCTGCATCCAGATAAGATAGGTGGTTTTTAGACCACTTTAGAGGATGTGAACAGTCCCTGTCATCATTTTACTGACTCATTAGTATTTATGAACAGATCTTTATCTTTGAGCTCTGACTTCAGATTTATCACAGTCATGATCAAATGAGTCATTTATAAAGTTCATATGGGAATATATTAGACATATGCAATTTGCTGGGTTCCTTATATAGGAAACATTTTTTTCTGATTGGCTTAATGAACTGGCTTGGATTGGAATGTTTATTATATGAAGTGCCTTGAGATGACTCTTGTCGTGATTTGGCGCTATATAAATAAAATTGAGTTATTGATTTGAATATTCAGAGTGGCATCATCTTCTCCTCTCTGGTCTTCTTGCCTGAAAACAGAGGATAGGATTCAGTTACCAGCATGATCAAGGGAATGGATGGATGGATGGAAAATAATCACCAGAGATGGAACAGACCTGGAGGTCCCAGAGACCCTCAGGGACCCATCCTGTCAGCCTGTTAGGACATTGTCTTAGCAACCAGCTGCAGCAGCAGATGCAGCTGCTGGTCCTGTTTCTCTATCACCCTGCCCAGTCTTTGGATCACAGTAGCCTGACAGTCTGTGGAAGAGCTCAGATTTCATCATAGTTCTCACAGGCCCAAAGTTAAACAGATGAACGTCTGGTTAAACATCACAAGTGCTCTCCCTGGATCTATTAGGGTTCAGAGGAGCAGAAAGACCCAGGAGGTGGTCCTAAAGAATCCACCATGTCTTCATGAGTTTAAAACTGTTCCACCTAAACAGATCGAAGTTTCCCAAGTTTATAATTAAAGACCAAAACTACCAGTCAGTTCATTTTTCTCTGCATCTTCAAAACATTTTGGTAATCACAGAGATGATCTGCAGTTTGGGATACAAATGGATGGATTATGTAGTAATCTATCCTGGCCATGATACACTGGATCAGCTCTATATGCTTAGGGGGGCTCTGTGGGGGTACCAGGCCCTCTGATAGGCTGCTAGCTCTCCGTATGACCAGTGTCAGAGCTTGGTTATAGTGGTTTTCTCCACGTTAAAGGGGAACTAGGCAGTTTTAGCTTGTTTTAGCACCCCCTAGTGTCTGTTTGTTGAATGAAAAGCAAAACCTTTCTCTTGCTATGCATTCATCTTTTTAATACCTTAACTTTAACCTCGCCTCTGTCAGTGCACCCCAGGGCAGCTGTGGCTACATCGTAGCTCATCACCATCAGTGTGTGAATGTGTGTGTGAATGGATGAATGATACACTGTAGTGTAAAGCGCTTTGGAGTCCTTACTCTGAGAGGTGCTATACAGGTCATTTATCATTTACTCTAACAGCTAAAACTTCTCCCAGCCTTCATCGGTGTCTACAGGAGGGATTAATCACTAAATGAAACTAATCAGCTGTGTTCATGATGTAAAACATGCTGGAAGCAGACTGTCAGCTGGTCTTGGAGCCCGACCAGGAGCCCCAACAAAACGGGCCACCATTCAGAAGTTGTGAATGGAATATTCTGATTTAAGCTTATAATTGACTCCTATGTTAAACATACTACACATCAGGAATAAACATGTTTACAATCTGGTACAAAATACTTTTTTAGGTTCAATACTTCGAGTTTACTATAATTACAACTTTGAGAGGGGTAAATGTTTTGTTACTCGTCTCTTTAGATGTCATTAAATCTTGAAATAATTAATACTTAAGGGCATATTTATTTGATTGACAGGTAGCAAATGAGACGTTAGCATAAGCGACTCGCTGTCCTGTTTGGTCCAGGGAAGGCTTCAGCCTCACGTTAGAGTGGTACAGCCAAGAAGGCAGAGGGTAGCAGGGTCACCCAACCTCGGTTTGCTAGCTGAAACTGCCCACCAACCTCCGTTAGCTTCAGTTAGCTCGCAGCTACATTGACTCAGAGTTTGATGGGTGTCAATCATCTGCCCCCACCCTCACAGCCCCACTCTGAGCTCCTTTTTTTTTTTTCCAGGAGTGATGAGATGTTTGGAGCAGTCAAAATGGAGGTGTTGGGAGCTGCCTACTGGGCTTCAATTCAGCTCTTCAGAAACGTTTGGGCGACAGAGGGTTCATCGATTATATACAGTTAATTGGTAGGATGTAAAAAACACACTAATCACATTTTCATTCAAAAACTCATGAAATTTAGCTGAAAAAGTTGTATTTAAAGCTAAAAATAAACTTCTACCAGGAAATATTAAAAAGCTGTCCACTGCAGCATGAAGTGAAAAATTAAATTCAGAAAACACAGAGTAAGCCCGACTAAAATCCGTTTTGTGTTTCAGTGTATGGGGTTAATTGTGGAATAATTTGGAGGGGACGCTCGGGGACTGTCTGACTATTACACAAGAAACAGTTTATTATTCTTGCAAGATACAGAACAGATTTGGACACATTGTTAGAGGGTGCACATGTTGATTTACTATTTGGTGTGTACCTTAGCTGGTACTGTGGAGCATTCTATGGTTGAGTTTGTATGATACATAAATATTAATATTGCTGAATTGTGGCATTGATTTGGAAGCCTAATTAATAAATGACACAGAATTGATAGGAAGGGGTGGGTTACAATAACATTTTTACTTCCTCCCACTCCTTTTTAGGTTATCTAAATTCATTATTTATTAAGAGGTTTGTATTTTCTCCAGTTATTGTATTTTCTTTCATTCTGTTTGCATATTTAGATTTTTTTATTTTTACATGTTTGAAATACTTCCTAAACTAAAGAGAAAAATATCCATTTATATGAGTTTTTATTTCAGATGAAACAACAGAGTCATCAAACAACTTTAGCCACCATCCTGCTCAGGTCTGGTTCTGATCCATGGGATGTAAAGTAGTAGACTCACCTCCTCCACTGGGTGGATCACTGGTCTTTAAAGCTGTGAACACAACAGATGGTTAATGTAAGAACACTGGGTTTACCTCTGGGTCAGCAGCATCCAGATGTGATCCTGGATGGCCACTGTCCTCCTGCTCTAACACACCAGATTCAAGTTCCTGGTCAGGAGGTTCGCAAGTTCTACAGAAGCCTGTTAATCAGCTAGTCAGGTGTGAAGAAACATCTAAAGCCTGCAGGCTAGTGGTCCTTCAGGACCAGGACTGGACTCTACTTCTCAGAGCCAGTTCTCAGGTTTGCAGAGTCTCCCATTTGGCCCTGAAACAGGAGATTTAAATACCTTAGATGTCCACATGGTGTCGCCCTTAATCCAGCTATTTAACCTTCCATGTACCTTTAGAGCCAGAATCTACAGTAGTTTGCTACATGAGATCCTGAATTAATACTCAAAGCCCTTCAAGATGTGGTCATTTACACAACTGAAATAAATATCCTCCTAAAAGTTTGAGTGACAAAGAGGGTCTGGATTCCATAAATGTCAGAGTTCCTGTACCTGGATAAAAAGCATCCTCCAGCCGGAACCCAGTATCACCTGTACACACACACACACACACACACACACACACACACACACACACACACACACACACACACACACACACACACACACACACACACACACACACACACAGATCAGAGTAGGAGTGAGAGATTTCTGTGTGTGTGTGTGTAATGCTGTACTCACTTGATTCTGTTGGTGTTGATGCCATGACAACTGAACATGAGTAAAAACAGGAAGTTAGAGTGACTTCATAATGAAACAGAACCTGGTTCAGGTTTAGAGAAACTAGTTCAATAATCCAATTATCTGATAAGCAGCTGCTGGGTACCTTGAACCAGACTGTTTGGCTGACCAGCTCCAGGACTGACACCAGGACTAGCTCCTGGATGGGATCCAGGACTGACCCCAGGACCAGCTCCAGGACTGACACCAGGACTAGCTCCTGGACGGGATCCAGGACTGACCCCAGGACCAGCTCCAGGACTGACACCAGGACTAGCTCCTGGACGGGATCCAGGACTGACCCCAGGACCAGCTCCTGGACGGGATCCAGGACTGACCCCAGGACCAGCTCCAGGTCCAGCTCCAGGACGGGATCCAGGACTGACCCCAGGACCAGCTCCAGGACTGACACCAGGACTAGCTCCTGGACGGGATCCAGGACCAACCCCAGGACCAGCTCCAGGTCCAGCTCCTGGACGGGATCCAGGACCAACCCCAGGACCAGCTCCAGGTCCAGCTCCTGGACGGGATCCAGGACCAGCTCCAGGACCACCTGAAAATTTTGACAATCAGCCAAAAGTTTAGACCAACATAAATACAACAGATGAACTGATTGTCAGGTGATTGAAATCAAACTCTCTGAAGATTATTCATTTTAAAATGATTCGTTTGAAGATAAAAGCTCCAGAACCAAGACAAGCTTCTAGAAACCTCCTGGTTCTGATAAAATGTTCTGTGTGATATTGTAGTTCCCCTGAGTTTTTACCAGTAGGCTCGCTTCTTCCAAGGATTTTGTCCCAAAAATGTCCTGTTTGAAACACAAAAACAGACTGTCAGCAGATGAACATCAGAATCCAAACTAAGAACCTCCTGAACTTGTCATGGTCTGCATCTGCGTCTCCCCTCATATGTCTCCTTGTGTTCTCCATCCCTCTCTAGGTTCTCCTTTTGTGTCTCCTAGCACTCTCATGTGTCCTTGTCTGCGTCTTCCTCATGTGTCTCCTGGTGTTGCCCATTTGTCCCCAGATCTTCAGCCCTCTAGGTTTCCATCCTCAGGTATCCTCCTCCCAGGTCCAGTGCTCCCGTGGTCCCCTTTAATCACGCTCCTGTAGTTTTTCTTTCTGAAGTTTTTTCCTTTAGTTTCAGCTTCCCCCTTAGATTATTAGTTATGTTTCCTGCTCTTCTTGTCTTTAGGTTTTACTCTTATGTCATGTTAGTTTCCTCCCTGATTAGTAATTGAGTTCACCTGGTCTCTCTCTCCCCACACACCTGCAGCTCATCTCCCTCTCATCCTCCCCAGTGTATAAAACCCTGTCTGTGTCTTAGTGTTTTGTCGGTCCAATGTTTGTTGTCAGCGTTGTCTCGTTCCCTCTCTTGTCTCTAGATTTTGATGTCTCCAGGTCTACTCTTTAAAGGAGTCTTAGTCTCTAGGTCTCAAAGATTTTTCTTATTAGGATTTTGGATTTATGTTTTTGGCTTCCTACCCCTTTGGATAATTTTTGTTCACATCAAAATAAAGGGATTCTCTGCATTTTGGGTCCAAACCTCCTCCTAGCTCACATCGCGACAGAGCTCATCACATCAACACCACGTTTCACAGCCTTAGTGAGGACATTCATGTTCACAGTTCATCAAACAGAAAAAACAAACCATTAAAAAAGAACACCACACTGAGAGTAAACAGCAAGCCAGCTGTAAGATCTGTTCTCTGATTCTTTCAGCTCTGTCAGAATTTTATGATCAGCTGGAGAAGATGTCTCTTACCTTCTACTGTTATGGCTCCAACAGCCAGGAACAGGAGGACAGCTGTCTTCATCATGATGACTAGAGCTTCACCCACAATCAAATTGCAGCAGGTTTGACTGCGGACCCAGACTCAGGAAACTTATAGGGCAGACTGGGTGTGTTCGCCATTACAACATTCAGACTGGTAAAACAACGCCATTCACATTTAGCATGATTAGAGAGGGTTAGTGGTGAACATGGTGTTTGTCTTGTGTAACACTGGAGGAGCCTCCTCTTGGGTTTGTTGACACCTTCTGAATAAAAGACTTGGAAGCAACACGTTCTGATGTTTCTGGTTACTGAAGCATCTAGAAGTCAGTACCAGCTCTGCAGCTAATCTGCTACCACCAGGTGAGTCAGTCTAAAACCAGATGTCAGTGTGTTTCAGCTCCTCAGAGGGAACACTGACACGTTGTTCTTGTAAAGGCTGATTTCTGCCCTGCTAACATCCAGATAGGTCTGCTGAATGATCTCATCTCCTGCAGTGTACCAGTGGTTTTACTGTTATTTTGTTTTAAGGTCCACTGTTCTTGGGTCATGTTCAGAATGTAGAGTGGTGGTCCAGTCACCATCAGAGACACCCATTGGTCATTGGATTAGGTATACCACTTCAGTCACTTATGAACACAAGTATTTATTCAGCCAATCAGAATGAAGCATTTATTCATCTCCTTGGTGAACATGACCTGCTGAGTAACATAATGGTTGCTCACTCCCCGTCGCGGTCACTGAGGTCAGCCGACCAGTTTCTCCTGGAGGTGCCGAGAACAAAGAGAAAGCTCAAGGGTGATAGAGCTTTCTCAGTAGCCGCTCCAAGGTTGTGGAATGCGCTCCCAATCCAGATTAGGATGGTTTCGTCACTGTCGGGTTTTTAATCACTTTTAAAGACTCATCTGTTCTCAGTTGCTTTTAATTCCGTTTGAGAATGCATCTGTTTTTAGTAGCTTTTATGTCAGTTTAATATGTTTGTTTTTATCATGTTTTTACTTTGTGATGAAATTTTTATCTTATTTTTAGAATTTTTAGGGAACTTCTGTTCTTTTTGGCTTGTTAAGCACTTTGGTCAGCTCTTATGCTGTTGTAAAGTGCTTTATAAATAAAGTTGACTTGACTATCACTGGTATGTGTGCGCATGCTAATTTGGGTTAGAGAGTGATAATGTGACTGAAAATGGAGTGACAAGTCCAGATGGGGAAATCCCATCACCTGCAAAAGCTGAATCCCGTTCCAGCAACTGCAATCTGTATCGGTGCAAGTAAAACAGCACAAAAATGTGCTTTTCAAGTTGAGGCAGGTAAAATACCCATGTGGCTGGTATAAAACAGCACATGGTTGTTTATTGGACTAATAGAATTTAACAAGAGGGTAGGCCTCCAGTTATGAAACTTCTGAAGGTGCGTTGGTGGAAAAAAGTTTCAAAAGTTCCAATGATTCACTCAAGGCCCTGGAGTCTGTTGGACACACACTTAAGGATTTGTTCAAGTGAACTCTGGTGCAATGACTGGGCACTGGAGTGGGGACTTGGCCCTGCTTGTTTGGGTGTGGACTAGATTGGTTTTGATCCATGCTGAGGCATGGCAGGCTTCTGGGCAGCCTACTAACTCAGTGGTCAGTCCCAAAGTTCAGGAGGTTCTCCTCCACTTTGGTGCATCAGGTGCTGCTGAGTCTGGTTGGTGCTTGTACACAACTCACTGTTGTGTTGTCTTGCTTGAGTTGTTCTCATTAACTGCTCTGGTACCCACAAAAACTATTCTCTTTGCTTCAATAGTTAGAACAGGAGGAGTTAAACAAATAATTCTTCAAGCCCAGGTTTTATTGTTTATTAGATGTGAAACAAGTCTGAATTAGTCAGTGAATGTTTCATCATTTCACAACATGTGATGAACACTCCTCCAGATCTCAGGCTTGAGTAGTCATAACAGGGTTTGAAGCAGGGTGTGTCAACACTTCAATTTAAACCTTTACATGAGGAAAAACCGAAAGCAAATCCCTCTGGTGACATGCAATCATTTTATTTGTAAAGTTAACTCCACTTTGAGAACCAGGAAGACCAGGAAAACAGAGTGTTAGTGCAGAGAGCAGATCCCATGTCAAACAGCCCAAAATGAAGATTTTAAACAAGAACATTATTGTCACAACCTCATAAAACTCAAGTATTAAACAACATAAAGCTACTCACCAAGCAGAGTTCCATTTAGTAACTTAAGTGCTCTGTAGTGGTCATCCATCTCCACACCTAAATGTAAGTTTGAGATCATGAGAGAAACCCCACTTTTCAGACTCAGAGTTAACGGTGTGCTGTGTTTCTTCATAAGAAAACCGTAAAAAGTCATTCTGATCCCAGAGGTTGTACCAGTGGAGGTCAGTGCCTGACACGGGCTCAGGGGCCTCGGGTAGACCTTGGCTCCACTGCTGTCCCATCACGGGGGAGGGGGATGTCCAGGAGGGGGAGAAACCAACCTTACCTGGATGTCCTATGTCATATATAATCTGGAAGCTGTGCAAATGCAGGGATGGGAGTAAATATTCTGCTGGGGTGGGGCTGTGTTGGTTCCCTCAGACTCCCTGGAGCTCTGCGATGTTGCTGCTTTGGGCCCCGGCGAGATGGGCTGGGGTCTCCATGCCCTGGGTGGCATTTTGGCAACTGAGGTGCCTATTGGGGCCAGTGGCTGGCAGAATGAATAAAGCGAACTCACGTGGGGAGTAGAATGGCTTTCAGTTTATGAAGAGGAATTCCAGAACAGGAGAGCAGTACTGGCAATCCGGGGTCTGCTCGTTGAGCCACGTCTCCGTGAAGCATAAGACAGAAGAGGAAGAAAAGTCTCTGTTTCATCTCATCAGCAACGCCAGTTCATCCGTCTTGTTGCTAAGTGAGCGGATATTGGAGAGGAAGATCCCAGGTAAGGGCGTACGTGAGCCGCGTCTTCGTAGACGCACAAGCACTCCCACACGTTTCCCTCTCCTACGGCGTCTCACTTTCTTAATTAAAAAGTGGACCAAATCTGCCACACCCACTAAAAAACTGGAAGTAGGTCCGTCGGCGTTGATTTTCTGACGTTTAGAAGCTCTTCACGGGTGTAAGAGCACGCTGACACACAATTTGCAGACAAAAACAAACAAAACACGACGCACGTTAGCACCAGGGCGTCCTTCCTCGGCGCCATCTTGGTTAGGTCAATCCTGAATTTTGAAAAATCCTGAAAAATTCCTGAAGCAATTTTAAAAGGGACCTTCCCGCTGGCATAAGATTGTGGCCACGTGATCAACCTGGTAATGTGATGGTCTTTTGGGAGGATGATGGGGTGAGGGTTGATTTCTTCAGTCTTCCTCCGACACAAAGATGTCCCTGATTTATTACTGGATCCACTTTAAACAGGGGGCTTGATCTTGGAAGGATATCTCCCACTTTCAACACTTCCATCTCCTGAGAAAAAGCCTGCTGCTGAAGTAGCTTTATTATTGTTTCAGCAGCTGTTTTCCGTTCATCCACTGTCACAAAGTTGTCATAATGAAGTTTGTTTGGTTTCAGTCTCTTTATCCTTGCGACCACTTTAAGGAGTGTTGACCAGCTTGAAAATCGGGAGAAATGATTGAGAACCTCATTTTGTTTACTTGTTTGGGTTTGCAAGAGTCTTGACTACCTTGACTTCTGGATCCCCAACCAACAACTCAGCTGAAGGGGTGGAGGGGTACGAGATGTCATGTTCCCACAGAAACTTTGGACCCGACAACCAGCAAGTCAACATGATTTCTGAAGCACTGAGTCCTCTAGAGGCGTAATCTGCAAGGTTCCAGGTTGTTTCAATCTAGTGCCACTGTTAGACATCTGTAGTTTGCCTAATTAACTGCACACGGTTAGCGACAAAGACATGGAACCTACGTGCCTCGTTGTTAACATAAGCTAAAACTACTTGAGAGTTGGTCCAAAATAATTCTGCATCGATGTGCATCGCGACTTCTGCTTTTAGCATGCTACTCATTCTGGCTGAAGTGACTGGGGCTGAGAGCTCTAGTCGTGGGATACTTGTCACCTTGGTAGGTGCAACTCTTGCCTTTGCTATAACAAGGCTGCAGTGGGCCTTGTTGTTGCTAATGTACCTAATATAGGAGCATGCACCATATCCTACATCACTGGCATCGCAAAAGTGGTGCAATTACACTTTTAAAATGTTGGTCAACTCTGATAGATGGTAACATCTGGGTACTGCGACTGATTTCAATCTCTCCAAGCCATTCTTCCAGTCCTCCCACCGTGAACACAAGTTTTCAGGAAGGGGGTCATCCCATTCAATGCCTCGGCGGCACAGCTCCTGTAGAATACTTTTACCCTTCAAGGTGAAGGGAGCGACAAATCCTAGCGGGTCATACAGGGATGAGATGACGTACAGTATACTGCGACGTGTAGGAGGCTGGTTCTTTGGGTTTGTGCTGAAACTGAAGGTGTCCTATTTTACTGACCACTGGATGCCGAGCACGTGACCTTCCACTGCTGGGCCAGGTTTGAGATCAAATGGTTTCGTGGTGTCAGCCTTTTCGGAGGATGGCAGATGGGACAGCGCATCGCTTTGGTTTGAATTAAACATGTGCAGATGAAGACCCCCAAGTTTGCAAAGTGCTTGTGTTTCTGTGATAAGTTATTGCGCTTCTTTAACTAATGGGACACTAGTTTACCCATCGTCAACGTAGAAGTTCTGTTCAAAGAACTCTGAGGCTTTAGGGTAGTCTACCCTGTGCTGTTATGTTAGGTGTTTTAGACCAAAATTAGCACATCCAGGAGAAGAACTAGCACCGAACAAATGGACAGCCATTCTGTACTCCTGGGGTTCCGTGTCTAATTGTCCACCCTGCCACCACAGAAATCTGAGATAGTTGCGCATGTCTAGACAAACGAAGAACTGATGAAACATCCTCTGAATATCGCAGACTATGGCTACATTTTCTCTTCTGAAACGGCAAAGTACTCCCACCAACGAGTTGATCATATCTGGACCTATGAGAAGGGTGTCATTTAGGGAAATTCTGAGAAATTTAGCCAAGCAATCAAAGACGACTCTTAGCTTGTCTGGTTTTTTCGGGTGGGAGACCCCATGATGTGAGATGTACCAGGCAGTTTCTCCATCTGAGGGAGGAGGAGCTAGTTCTGCCTCATCATTGCTGATAATGCCTCTCATAAAGGAACTGTACTGTTCATAATACTGTTTATCAGCTTTCAACCTTTTCTTTAAGTGCTGCAGGCGGACTGTGGCTAGCTTCTTGTTGTTAGGAATAGCTGGAGGATTATTGTCCTTGAAGGGAAGAGGCATCTCGTAGCGCTCATCTTCTCTCTGCCTTACTGCATCGCTGAGGATTTGTATGAAGCGAACATCATCCTGGGATACATACTTATCCTCATAGTTTTTCTCATTAAAGTCTGTCTCTAGGACTTTGAGTACATCTGCAGCTGATGGTAAAGGCACTTCTTTGACTGTGATTCTATGCACGTAACTCTGGCTACCTTTTCTGTCTAGGAGGGGATTAGCAAAACCAATAATACTTCAACCTAGCATGGTTTTTTGTGTGAAAGGTTCGTTTCCCTTGCCTGTA